GTCTAATAGATTTTTTTTGGTTGATCTTTTTTACTCCAGAATCCAGCACTCAACTACCAGGGGATTCGCTCTATCCAAACGCCCCTGTGCCTCCAACACAGTAAAAGAAATGGTGAGATTTAAAAGGGATCAATGATTCCAGAGAAGAAAATGAAGGAGATTAGATAGAAAGCAAAAGATACAGAGATAAAGGGAGCGATATCTTCGTTTTTGTCACTTGCATCATTTTTGGGAGAAAATGATATAAATGAATTCTTGCCAGTATCTTGAACATGACATGATTCAAAATAAATAGCTAAAGCTAAACACAGATAACGTTTAAACTGACTGTCATATAAAACAGAAAAAAAAGACCTTAGGTTTGGACTTTTGGAAAGGTCTTAAATCCAAATTCCTGTTAATACCCAACAAAAGCAATCTTGACCCAAACAGCCTGCATCCAAATACCAGGCACAAGGCTCAGTATACCCTTGTCCGTCCTCCATTTTCAGTAACATCACTTAACTTTGAGCCGAACCACAGGATCCAGGATACCTGTGATCTGCACTCCAGAAGCATCTCAATGTACTTTAGGTACTCAAATGGAAACAAACATACAAATTGCACTTTTAGAATGTTTCCTGAATCTTACTTTTCGGAGGGATGAAGCATAAAGTCAAAATTAGCCCTGACTTAATGTTTTCTTTTAACAACATTCTTTTTATCACTTAATCTTTGTATTTGTTTCATAGAAGCACTCGATTTGGAGTAAGTCCAAAGAGAAACTTGACTTTGTTATCGTTACTTTGTATGCGTGCGTGTGAATGTCGGTTTTGCTTTTGGGACAATGTGAAAGCTTCAGTGGTTTGGCCTGTTTTTAATTAGATTTTAGCATGATAAAAAAGAGACAACAAAATTGTATTAAATCTGTTTACTTTGTCTCTGACAACATGTACTGTAAACCTGGAAATCTGTGTGCACGTCATTGCCACAAAATATCATAAGTTACTCTACATTTCTAACTGGTGAAAGTAGTTATTTCATTCTCATCTCATTGCAATGCTTATGAGAAAACTGAAATATTGGAGTGTATGATTAATCAACAATGAAAAAATAATGGGAAACGCAGCAAGGAATCATATTGGTTCCTTAACTCAAATAGAGTTGAATCAATCATTTTAGTAAGATCATATCGCACATTTTAGTAATCAGTGTTCATGCCAGAACTGATGTTTCAGTTCAGATTGTTAACCCTTGTGTGTCAATTTTAAAAAGCTACACATAGGTCCTCAGGGGACAAAAATGTCCTTGTTAAAAATGGTCATAAAAATATTATATAGTAATATTTGTTCTGCTTTCACTGACATTGATCATTTTCCAGCATCTGTCCTGATCATAACTACCAAAAATGTAGTCATTTTCAGGATTTTAACTCTTAGAATGCTAGTTTGTTTACATAATGCCACTGGTGTTCATGAGAAAAATATATATTATACTAAGCATATGATATTGATTATTACAGTATTGGATCAGGGTTGTTATGTTTACTAAAACTAAAATCATTTGAAAGATGTTTTCATCAGTTGAAATAAAATAAACCTTAACTAAAATGAAATAAAATACAATCCAGAATTTTATGCTTAATGGCACTGGGATTAAATATTGCTGTTTTAATGGGTTTCAATGGGGACATATATGTCCTTTAGGTCTTGAGTGTAACTCATTTATATCCCTAGAGTAAAATATTACAATTCCAATAAAAATACACATTTTTGACACATTTCAACATTTATGCTGTTTGCATTAACACAGCCAAAATGATCAAAAAATCACATTAAAGAAAAAAATGTCTTTAAGGACACACAAGGGTTAAAGAATGTGTTCTGTGTGTGTGTGTGTGTGTG